TCAATTCATTTATCTTCAAAATTCCTTTATTGCTGGTCGAAATTTCCGACACCTCAACTTTATAACCAACATACCAATTCATTTCGAAATCGTTTATTCTTTAAATGTTTACGATTCAGGTGCAGGTCAAACACTTTTTTAATGATATCAAAACATCAAACAAATATTTGAGTCTATATTGAAAAAAAAATAACCGAAAGATCTAATATTCAAAGAGCAGAAAGTCATCAAAATAAACAACACATTCAAGCAAAGCCCAAACCATATTCTTCTTTAATAAATATATATCTAAATAGAAAAATCTTATCATCCTAAAAATTTTTATCAATTGAATTCCCCTTTTTTAAATATAAAGAAACAATATATTTAAATATATAATGAAAAAAAGAAACAAAATTAAAAATCATTTTTGCAATTAAGTTTAATCGCAGAAGATAATGTAAAATTGTTTTTAAATGCATCTTTATAATATGCTTCGTATAGGAAATCAGTCGATATGACAATGACACCGTACATATTTAAAATTTCACCGTATATATCTACGTGACTCGCACCTTGAGTTCACTCATGTATTAATACACGTTGACATGAATGGCTAGTCGTATGTGAGATCCAAAGAAGCCTGTATCAAAAAACATTAATCATCCAACGTAAACGTCAGATTGTCTTCTTTCATATTTTACGTATGAGTTCATCTATCTTCTCCATCTACATCCGCACCCACGTGACTTAAGAAAACTTAAGACCTAAACATTGTCGTTTAGAAATTTTTTATATACACAAATAACAATTTTTTTTATTTCCAGAAAACCTGTTTTTTAAGTGTTCACTACAACACAAGTGACAGTGTTACAGAACATAAGTTACGAGAATCTTTTATAACATAAAAAACAAACAAAAATATTTTTTAAAAACACTGATACAAAAAGCTGTATAAGAATTAATTGACTTTTTGATGAACCTTTATGTTTTTAGCCTCAGGATTTTAGCGGAATCAATAAATCTCTGCGTTAAGGTTCAGAATAAAAAATTTTAGCCGCATAGACCGATGCAACGGTTGCGACGGTTGCGGCTCCTTTACAGTGGATTCAGATTTCTAAAACTGATTTACAAGAAACATTGATGTTATGTTTCATTAACAACTGTACTTGTGTTTATTGAATCAAGATTTTCGATAGAGAACAGCAGATTCTCTTTCCGCAAATCTAGATCCAGTGATACCTATAAATATTCAATAAGTATACAAGAATTTTGAAAGTAACAAATAATCAATATTTTTTGTAACTTAGGGTAATGAAAAACCTAGAGACATTGAAATAACCAGACGGAAAGGAATTCTATGACATCTTATTGTAATCTACACGGAAAATATGTTTGTGCATATGCTACCCCTAGTATTAGGGGACAAACATATGTCCGGATTTTATCGCATACGATACACGGAGAAGGGATTGCAATTTCACTTTCCAGTAGTATCGTTAACTGCGAAGACAAGTCAAATATTTTTTCCTTGTGATATTAAAATAATTCTTCATGTAATTACTGCTCTACAATGGAAGACCGAAATGGCAACAATACTTATGTTACACCCGTATATTTTTTATATTTCAATTAATGATCTAAATGAATACAAGAAAGAAAGGTAATATTAAATTATTGTTTAAATAAAATGCAACTATGTGTCAATGATTACACATAAAGTCGGCGAATAGATAAAGAAAACACACCTGCAGAAGAAAACATTTTTCAAACCAGGAATACCGAACCGCTAAAAATTGAAGAAGGCATGTAAAGAATACGGAATCAGTCCGCAACCATCTGGATATAATCTAGTTAAAAAAACATGCAAAACAGGTCCTGAACAATCCAAATTCTGTATACGCAAGGAAACCGCGATATTAGTCCGAAACAATCTGGATTTAGTCCAGTTAAAAGACGTAAACTGAAACAAGTATGAAACAAATAGAAATCTGAATGCAAAGAAATCGATATTAGTTCGCAACAATTTGGAATTAGTTTGATAAAATCCTATTCCGAAACAAGTACGAAACAATCCGAAATCTGTATGTAAAGAATTTGGAAATTATCTACAACAATCTGGATTTAATCCCAATTAAAAAACATAATCCGAAACAATCAAAAATCTGTATTCAAAGAATCCGATGTTAGTCAACTTCAATTTGGAATTAGTCTGGTAAAATCCTAGTATTATGGAACAAGTACGAAACAATCCAAAATATTAAAGCTAAGAATTCGGATGTTGAATCCGAATCATGATAGATCAAATATCCTATTACGCTATAGGTTCGATACAATCTGAAATTTGTATAGACAATCTATAAACAGTCCGCAACAATCCGGATTAAATTTAGTTGAAAGACTTAATCCAAAACAATCCGAAATCTGCGTATGCTAAGAATCCGAAATTAGTCAGCAACAATGTGGAATTAGTGCAGCAGAATCCTATTCTAAAACAAGTTCGAAACAATCTAAAATGTTTATGGTTACAGAATTTTTTCTAACCTACATTAAGTCAAATAACAATTTCAATTTAAAATTTTATTCTAAAACCAGAGTTTGGATTTATCCGGACTAATTCGGGATGACAAAACCTAACTATAAATTGGACTGTTTCGTGCTAGCTACCGGTTCACTATCCAGTGGGTACACTTGTTCAAAAAACGTCCTAAGAATGTCTTTTTGCTGACGTCTTTTGGCAAAGTTCAAAGACATCTTGAAGACGTCCTAAAAATGTTCTGTCTTGGCCATTGGATGTCAGAAAGACGTCTTTTTGTTTTAAACTTTGTAGAGATTAATATCTGTCTTCAACGGCTGAGGTGCTTAAGGCACAGTGCTTCAAGGTCAACCCTGGTTAAAAAACCGGACAGATTTCGCACTAATCCGAAATTTGTCCAAAACAATTAAATTAAACAATTAAACACAGGGAATACACGTAAAATACACGTTTATTCAATGAAAACGGAACTTTACAAGCTGCGCAGTATGTTTACTTGATAATTACTCGATATAATGCAATAAAAGATTAATGAACATTTTTGTGCGACGCGGCAGCGGTTTACCCTTAGGCGGTTAGTGCCGGACTAATTTGAAATCCTTTCCAGATCTGGGAAGGTATTTAATAGGGACCCCAGATCTGGCCCCGATTAGACCCATGGCCAAATTTCTACACGGGTGGGATATATATTAACCTGTATCGAAAATCCGACACTGGTTTGTCGATACTGATACACCGATGTTAAATGGACATCGATTCTTTATTAGATTTATGTTGCAAAATCGACATTGGATTGACGGTATTAAATCGACACATTTCTATTAGGAATCCAGTACTGCTTTGTCAACATAAAATCAAATGTTGAATTTATGCAAAATTTATGTTGTGAATTCAGTATTGATTTTCCGACATAAACTCGACATCAAATATGTACTCTAATAATGTTAATGTAGTAAAGGTTCACCGTTTCTACTGAGGCGTCCAATAAATACTGTTTTTATGTCAGGAATTTAGTACTGGTTTGACGACATTAAATCTATGCAGAATGACGTTGAATCTATGCAGAATTTATGTTGAGAATTCAGAACCGGTTTAACTACATTAAATCGACTTTGAATCGTTACAGGATTTTGATACAATCGACCACCAGTTGTTAGCTAAGAAAATGGAAAACCTAGATTTACCAAATGACGAGTGTTTTCTACTTGTGACCTTCGCGTGACTTTTCATTACCGCGACTGTCATCAGCGATCAGATATCTAAAGTAGTAGCATCTACATAAAAAGCTATTGGTATTCTCATTAGATCGTCAAAAGGTTTAAAAAATTTATCAACCTTAAAAACACTATTAGCCTCACTAGTACTTTTTCTTATATAATCTTTTCTTTTGCTATCCCTAACCCTCTTCTTCAAAAATACAATAACGATCTGCAGAGAATTCAAAAGAGATTTCTAAAAATTTTAGCATTAAAGACTGATAGTTGATGTGTAAGATAAAAGGGACCTAGGTCAAAAATATCAATTTCCACTTTCTCGATGATTCTTAAAGAAAAAGATGTTCTCCTTTCATAGCTAGAAACCCCGCACCTATATAGTTTCATTAGTTTTTTTTACAAATGTGCTTCAAAGATGGACGCAATTGGCTTGAAACTTATTGTTACTGAAAGGTTTTTAGGGTCGCTAATTACGAATTTGGTAACAGATAAGGTTGTTTCAAGCGAATCTATTTGCTTCTTACATTTTTATTGCGCCATATTGGATCCGCCATTTTGAATTTTGGAAATCTGCTGCCAGATTCGTAATCAGCGACCCCAAAAGTCCCCAAGTAATGAGTTTCAAGCCGTTTTATTGTGCAGATGCATGAATATCGACTTGTTAATTTTAATGACTTTTTCTCGAAAACTGGATTTTGGGCGTAAGGTTTCTTTTAAACTTACCAGGTCACCATTGTCTGCTCTATAGAGCTAGAAGCTATGATTCAATGTAAGTTTAAAAAAATTTTTCCTTTTTTTATAGCTTTTAAAGTATTAAACGCGTTTTTCTTAAAACGACTTTTTAAAAATCCGTGTTCACTATCATTTAAAATCTACATTACTGATTTATTTCAAACTTGGTACACACTTCCTAGATTTTAAAAACTCCCCCTGAATGATTTCAGTTTAAACTTATAACACTTACGTATGTTTTTCCGTTATAAGGACAGACTACAAACCCTAACAATAATGGATACTCTAGGATATCATGCGGACGTCCTAGTTACATTCGGAAATTAAGATATCTTTAGAATCCCCTCAAGATATCTTAGTACATTAAGGAACCTCTTACAGATGTAATAATTTCTGCACATCTGTATAGGACATCCGCAGGATATCATGAATTTCCGAATGTTGCTAGGGAACTGTATTTTTATTTTTGACATTTGTCATACGGAATTCGTGTTACAAAAAAAACATATGCTGCAAAGTGTTTAAAGTGATATACTTACAGGACATAATCATGCCTGCAATATAGTCGCATGTTTCTTAGAAAACAGGAGTGATGATCGTGTAGAGATCTTGCGCATATGAAACACCTTAAACATTTAGAATGCCAAGAACGTCCACCCACACACAGAACAGTTTGTTCGTCAACATTTTCTCCACAACCTCCACAGTCCATTACAAACACACTGCCTTTATTATTACAATTTACTACACTAAGAGTTTTACTCATTTTATCAACATTATTATTGTTTACGCACTCCAAATTGTCCTCATGATCAGCACTTCTCACGATCTCAGTCTGAAACAAGAATACTTTTATTAATTTTTGTTATTTTTCAGTTATAGTATATAGTTAAGAAATAGCTAATAAAATTTTTATAAGTATATACTAATTACTATAATTAAATTTTCTGTTTTTTGGACAATTTTACATGAAATAGCATTTTTTACATATATTGATAAGTTAAGAACTTTTTTATTTAAGTATACTTTTAATAAATATTATAGCTCAATCCTTAGTCTTACTTCTGACCTGACTTATATACACTAAAGAAGAGTTTTATAAATTGAACTTATATTTGGTAACGGTTATAGAATATTAAAATCGAAAGCATCAATTTGACAGTCTCAAGAAATTTTTAAATTACCACGTTTTGATGCAAATTACTAGGGGGTTCTTGAAATCGCTTATCAGAAATACGATGTCCGTTTCTCAACGTTACACTTCCGACATTTATTGATTTAAGTTTACAAACTTTATTCCTTATCGTTTATATTAAACCTACCCAATGGATACATCATCTTGCATCAATCTGGTATAGCAGACTTACTTTGCAAGGTTTTCCAGTTTGCAGTAAGCAAACTAAGTTAGCTTGCGGTAAGCTTATTGTAAGGTTAAAATACCCTAACTAACCCAAGGTTGGACTGTAATCTTGCCGTAGGGTTACTGTAAGATTTCACCGTAAATTTGCGGTAAGATTGCAAGGCAAGCTTACCCCAACATTACCTGCGGGGATCGATTACGTAACTTATTCCGTATTCCACATTCCGGATTCCATTTTTCATATTCCGGATTACACATGCCGGATTCCATATTCCGGATTCCACATTTCAAATTCCACATTTTGGATTCCACGTTCCAAAAATCATTTTGCGGATTCCATATTCTAAATTCGGGATTGCATATTAAATGTGCAATCTGGAATATGGAATTGCGAACTAAGAATCTACAATGTCCAAATTGTATGAATACGGAATTTGAAATTTTGAATCTAGAATGTGGAATATGGAATGTGAAATCCGAAATGGAATATTCTGGAATCCGGAATATGAATTATGGGGTCCTAAATGTGAAATATGAATTGTGGAATGTGGAATATGAAATGTGGAATCTGGATTCCACAATCCGAATTGTAGTATTCGGAATGTAAATTCGGATTGTAGTATCCGAAATGTGGAATCCGGAATAAAATAACTCCGGAGGAGATGGCCCAATTCAAAAATTTTACAGAATTAGTAAAAAAAATATCACTTATTACAGGTTATTCTTCAAACTTTTGTGACTAAAAATAAATGTAAACAATAAATTGTTGAAAAATAATGAAAATGTAAGTGTAATTCTTCTTCATTTTTTTGTATGTTTCTAAAAAACTTTGAGAAATTCAGATTTCTTATTGTAATATTGCTAATAACTATAATACACTATTGTTTCGGAAATTTTTCATACTACAAATTAATATGTACCACTGCCAAAATCTATAGCGAACCATATGGGCAAAGGCAAAAATATCAAAATATTTGAAAATCTAGTGAACTATGTCCAACGACAAAAATAATAATTTAAACCCTCAAAATATCCATATTTTGCCATGTCAGAAAATCTAGCAAATCGTGGACAACGGGAAAACTATTAGTTTAAATCTGAAAATTTCTATACTTTGACTATGGTTACAATTTAGGAAACCATGTTAAATGACAAAAATATTCAAAAACCAGAAAATTTATATCACAGAAAAAAAATGATTCGTACGAAATTCTTACGATTTATGTACGAATTTCGTTCAGGAATCCGGCCAGATTCGTACAGAATTCCTATCGAATTCGTATGAAATTACTAGTGAAATTCGTGTGGCGTTTTGAAACGTTTTTTCGCACGAATATTCATGCGAATAGTACCCGGATTTTTTAAAATGGATTTTCAAAAAAAAATTTCGTTCGGAAATCCGTATGGAAATTCACACGGAAATTCTTTTGACAATTTATTCAAAAATTTTTGGTCAAATTTCCTTACGAATTTCGTACGAAATTCGACCGCATTACGAACGGATTTATTTTAGAAAATTTTTATAAAATTCTGCTCAGAAATTCGTATGGAATTCCGCACGAAATGTCAGATAAAAATATCCTCAAAAGTTTTCGGCGAAATTTCTATACGAAATTCGTATGAAATTCGAGCGAATTACGAACGGATTTATTTTAGAAAATTTTTATAAAATCTGCTAGGAAATTCGTATGAAATTCCACACGGAATGTCAACTAAAAATTTCTTTAAAAATTTTCGACCAAATTTTCATACGAAATTCGTATGAAATTCGAGCGAATTACGAACGGATTTATTTTAGAAAATTTTTATAAAATCTGCTAGGAAATTCGTATGAAATTCCACACGGAATGTCAACTAAAAATTTCTTTAAAAATTTTCGACCAAATTTTCATACGAAATTCGTATAAAATTCGAGCGAATTACAAATGGATTTATTTTGGAAAATTTTTATAAAATTTCTGCTTGAAAATTCGTATGGAATTGCGCACGAAATGTCAACTAAAAATTCCTTCAAAAATTTTCGGCAGAATTTCCATACGAATTTCCGAGCAGAATTTTCTAAAAAATTTCCAAAAGAAATCCGGTGGTAATTCTCTCGAATTTCATACGAATTTCGTATGGAAATTTCACCGAAAACACTTTTGAGGAAATTTTTATCTGACATTTCGTGCGGAATTCCATACGAATTTCCGAGCAGAATTTTATAGAAATTTTCTAAAATAAATCCGTTCGTAATTCGGTCGAATTTCGTACGAAATTCTTAAGGAAATTTTGTTTGAAAACTTTTGAATAAATTGTCAAAAGAATTTCCGTGTGAATTTCCATACGGATTTCCGAACGAAATTTTTTTTTTGAAAATCCATTTTAAAAAATCCGGGTACTATTCGCACGAATATTCGTGCGAAAAAACGTTTTAAAAAGGCCACACGAATTTTACTAGTAATTTCATACGAATTCGATAGGAATTCTGTACAAATCTGGCCGGATTCCTGAATTAAATTCGTACGAATCATTTTTACCTATGGGTATATGTTTTGAACATGTTGGTTATAATCTATAGCAAACGATGGCTATAGCGACAAAAAATTTAAGAACTTGTAAATTTTGTATTTTAACTCTAGTCAATATTTGGCGAACCATATGTCAAATAAAAAAAATATTTTAAAACCAGAAAATTTTTATATTTTGACTATGGTTGAAAACTAACAAACCAAGGTCTATAAAAAATTTTTAAACCCCTCAAAATTTCTATATTTTTTATCATGGACAAAATCTAGCAAACAATAGCCAACGGGAAAACGTAATTTGAATCTAAAACTTTCTATATTCTAAAAATGGTCATAATTTAGAAAAGCATATGGTGAACGACAAAAATATTTAAAAATCTAAAAATTTATATATTTTAAAATTTTAAAATAGGTAAAATCTATCGAACCACGACAAAAAGATATATAAAAACTTGAAAATTTATATATATATTTTATCTGTGATCAAAATCTGTCGAACAATGTCGAATGACAATAATATTTTAAATCCACAAAATTTCTATTTTATGACTATGGTCAAAACCTAGCGAACCATTGGCTATAAAGTCGTTGGCAAAGGTTTGCTGGAATTTGCCATTTTACTGTTTCCCGGGTTATTTATTTAATATTTTGGTGCTTACTTTTGTCATGCAATATTATATAGGTGAGATGGCCAGTATTATAGACTTTTTAAAAAAATTTTGTATTAATTTTGGATGCTTTGAATTTATAATGATAATGTTCAAAATGCTACCAAAAGAAGAGAAAAATAATATGAACGATTAAAAATTAAGTTGAATCTGAAAACCAAAAATTATAAGTATTGACCATCTCTCAAGCACATATGTAGGACATTCTGGAAAAGATATGGTTAAATGGATGCACTTTTTAAAAAAGGTAAATTTTAGTATTGTTTCTATGAAAATATATTTTATTTTTCGTCATTTTAAAATTAGTTGTTCGAACTAATTTTTTAATATTGATCAATATTAAATTATTAATAGATTAAGTGTTGACAAAATATCGCTTTTTACAATATTTACAATCCTTTAAAATAACTATATGACCATCTTCCCCGGACTTATCCTATATTGTAGGAATATGTTATATTATAATAAGTTTCTGATCAAATGTCCAAATGAATTTTCCTTTGTGTACAAAATCCATTTTTTGTGAAAACGATATTTTTTAAATATTTTTTGTGAAACAATATTCATAGTTTGTAACAATCGTTTTATTGAAAATCAAAAATATATATAATATGACATTGAGAGTGTAATGAATTTATAGTTTTTCGCAATTTTAGGTTGTTTCAATATCAGGTAATTTTTTGCACCTTAAACGCAAAACTTTCTTTTGTATACATTGGTCGGTTCAATTTAGAGTAATCAATATTTAAAAATTTATATTTTCAAGAAATTTTTTTATTTTTGCATTTGATTTAAAAAAATTTTGTAATATATACTAACTAATATATTATTGTATGTAAGATTGACTGCATCATATATATCAGTATTGAAGATGTATTTGTTTTTCAATAGTCAAACTGAGGATCTATATAACTAAAATATTTACATATGTATTTTACATGTTTAAATATTTGTTTTTAAGTTAATTACATTAAAAAGTACTAAACATTAATGAAAGTAAGATTTAAAAATATAAAAACTTTTTTCTAATACATAATAATTTTTGGAAAGGTTTAAATAACAAAGCGCAAAGTTTCTTCACTTGGCATGAATAGAAGCTTATTCTTTCTCTACATTTATAAAGTTCTTACCTTCATAACTAATCACTTATGGTCTCCAAAACTAAAAATTTTCTTTATATGGAGGAACTTTTCACAAATAATTGTAATTTAAAATTACATTATTACTTCACTATATAAAGGTTTTCTGTCGCTTAATCACGTGGGAACATAATTTTGAAGTACGGTAAATACGTATCGTTTGTTACAACTTGTTTCACTCGATAAAATTAATTACAGAACTATTCTTATATCTATCAATTGAATAATTCATAAGCGGAATTCATCTATAAAAATTCTCGAGCTAAATTGATGCAGAATGTATCTAGCTTGTCCGATGGCCCGGTGGAGACTGTTATATGCTTCGAATTTGCCCCACCAAGTCAGGACACATCTATCTCGGAACAGAAACATGCACATCGTCTATTGAATCATTGGGATGTGTTGTAGGATTTTGTATTAGAAGGGCAGAAATTTTATCGTAGGTTTGGGGCGTTGTAAGACAGAATGGTGGGGATGAAGTAGCACATTCAGAAGAGGGAACTGACAAACTCCGCCTTGTGTCACGCCCCTGAATCACGACACACTGACATATGTCACTGCATTAGTATGTTATAAATACACACACTCTGTAGAAAGCAAACATTTGTTAATCAATTGTAAAAAAAATACCTATATCATTTCTATAGAATCAGGTGTGACGGAGCTTCCCGTGGTTATTGTTTACATTTGTTTTTAAAATACCGTACAAGTTCTGCACATATACTTCACCAATTGAACCATTTTGTGTATTTATTCTGTATAAACAGGTTTTAGCAGCCTGTAATAAATGGTACAGTGTATCTATGCTCAGAGGAACAGGATCGCTGAGGTTTGGCTAAAACCGACTTTTTTGTACAGTTGAAATCATTTTTGGTATTTAGAGACATTAAGCCTTTAATTTAGGAATATAATGTTCGGTAAGTTCAATTATTTTAGCATAGTCACATCGGGAAAGGACCCCACACTTTTTGTACAGAAAATGCGGATTTCGGTCAAATCTTCTGAAACTCAGTAGTTTTATAGTCAAAGACCTCCTGAACAAAAAATTTTAATGCGAAAATACAAAATAATGTACAGTTTTTGAGCTACAGTAGATCAAAGTTACAACACAATAATAAATGAAGAAAGTTTTTGCGGATGTTCCGTTCTTAAAAAATTACTCGATGTTGCTCGGGAATTTTTTAGTTCCCTGATGATTATAAATAAAAATTTAAGAATTCAAAATGGCGAATTCAAGGATATCCTGAACTTCCGGATACTGTTAGGGTATCCGGATTTATTTCAGATGTATTTCAACACTGTTTGTTTTTACTATTTGCTGATGATTTAAAATTTTATAAAATTATTAATAATCATCTTGACTTTGTCGACATGCAATCTGATTTAAATCGTCTACAAGAATGGTGTACGAAAAATCATCTTTTGCTTAATCAAAAAAAATGTTCTGTTATCTTTCTAGAAGAAATCTATAATTTTAAGACATCGATATAATATTGATTCAACTGAACTTAATAGAGTGGGTCGGGTGCGTGATCTGGGTGTAATCATGTCTGAGTCTTTTTTTTTGCTTATCATATTGATTGTACAGTAAACAGAGCTGTCAAAACACTTGGTTTCATCATAAGAAACGCATCCGATTTTAGAAATGCTTCGACAATTAAACTTTTATATTTTTTACTAGTTCGATTATTGGTAGAATTTGCTTCTCTGACATGGTCTCCATATTATAATGTGGAATGGGTCAGAATTGAAAGAGTACAGAATAGATTTTTGAGATTTTGCGGCACAAAGACTGAGACTCCCCTATGATTATACTTTGGTCATGACTATACCAATTTGCGTGAAATTTTGAACATACCAACAATTACATCCAGATTCTTATACATTGACTTACTGTTTTTATATAATATTCTTAATGGTAAAATTAATTGTCCTTTGATTTTATAAAGCATTAAATTCGCAGTTCTAATTAGGTCTACAAGAAATTGCTCTTTTTTTAACTTAAAATTTCATCGAACCAACTATCTATGGTCTAAATGCTGTTTTTTATAGGCTGTGCGTAAAGAGGGAAATTATTTTATAAAAGATTATAATATTAACTTTTTTAATACTTCCGAAATTAGCTTTAAGTTAAAGTTGCGAAAAGTTCTCTTCTAAAATTAATGTTAGCCAGGTTGTTACAATGATATATAAACCTAATTGATTAAATGTATTAGACATTTGTTCTGATATTATAATTTTAATGTAAAGGCATCAGCCTGTATATTCTTAATAAATAAATAAAATAAATAAATTAAACACAAGAACAAAATTTTTTCCACATGGGACTGATAGAAAAGCATAATTTATAACCCTAAACCTTAAACGGAACATTCCAATACAAATAAATTTATGAAAACTTAAATAATTAAGAAAATTAATTTTACAAAATTTTAAATGCTATAAATTTGAAATTCTGAAGTTAATACGATTTAAACAATTCATCATCGTTTATCTGTTATATAGAAATTAATATAATTAAGGGACAGTTAAATATGAATACTTCAGAAATGTATATTTGAAATTCATTTTCATTTTGCCTTTTTCAATCAATATCATTTTTAAGTCAAACCATATATATAGGTACAGTTCAAATTATATAGGAAAATAAAGATTTCAAGTACAACGTCATGAATGTTAAAAATAAAATAATGGCTATTGTGTATCATAATAATAATGAAAAATTGAATTCTTATTATTATAGAAAATGAGTGGAATATATATAAAATCCATAAATGATTTTTTTGGACAGCAGTATTATTTTAGAGAAAATAATAAAATATTATTAATTGTTTTGGTCAAACGATCAATTTAATTAAAAATCTTTACAAAAACTGCGACGTTTCGATACATAAGTTGAACGGTGTGTCTGAACGAAGTTCAACCCAAACTAGCTTGCATATTCCGGTTTTCTTCTAATTTCACTTCCGGGATGTCTCTCGATGATTTTGAGCCTAAAAAAAAATCGCTTGGGCTCTTTTTAAAAAAACTCATTTTTTTGAAATTTTAAAAATATTAAAAATCATATTTTTAAGAAAATAGAAAAAAGGAATATTACTGCTGACTTAAATCAATTAGTTTGACATAAATAAAAGGTTTCTAGATGTTTCATTCCTTGGGATAACTGACGCCCAAAAAATACTTTAAAAAAACTGTGAAAAACTGCGAAAAAGTTGCATTTTTATACAAAACTACTCACTTTTAATGCAAACAAATAATTAATTTTCCATAAAATAATAATTAAAGCCAATAAAATTGTACGTAAATTGAAAAAAAATGAAACTCTTTATCTCTAAAAGTTTCTGAATTATGTGCTTTTGAAAATGAAAATTTTCCTTAAAATTAATTAAAATTTCAGTTTTTTGTAAAATAACCCATGTTTTTCAATCTATAGAGTAAATTTTCTGACGAGAAATAAAAATGGACATAATTTTGATTAAATCTAAAAAAATTAGAACATTCTATTTCCAAAACGAATGAAGGCTATTGTATTCGCATATAAGGAATCTCAATATGAGTCTTTGCGTGATTTTTCGACATTTTGTTAAGTGACGTTTATAAAAAAGATTTTTATTTAGAAATTATAACATCGACTTTAATTTTTTTCGATAATTGCGACCGTTAACGATTAGTAAGTGAAAAATCATAATATCAACAATATATATGTCCAAAAAATAAAAAAGGGTCGTGTTCAAAGGGTCACAATTTTGGTCTAAATTGAAATAGAATGTTCTAATTTTTTAAAGATTTAATTAAAATTATGCCCATTTTTACTTCTCGTCAGAACATTTACTCTAGATTGAAAAACATGGGTTATTTTACAGAAAACTGAAATTTTAATTAATATTAAGGAAAATTTTCATTTTCAAAAGCACGCATAATTCCGAAACTTTTAGAGATAAAGAGTTTGATTTTTTTTCAATTTACGAACAATTCTATTGGCTTTAATTATTTTATAGAAAATTAATTATTTGTATGCATTAAAAGTGAGTAGTTTTGTAAAAATGCAACTTTTTCGCAGTTTTTCACAGTTTTTTTAAAGTATTTTTTGGGCGTCAGTTATCCCAAGGAATGAAACATCTAGAAACCTTTTATTTATGTCAAACTAATTTAAGTGAGCAGTAATATTCCTTTTTTCTATTTTCTTAAAAATATGGTTTTTAATGTTTTTAAAATTTCAAAAAAATGAGTTTTTTTAAAAAGAGCCCAAGCGATTTTTTTCTTTTTAGGCTCAAAATCATCGAGAGACATCCCGGAAGTGAAATTAGAAGAAAACCGGAATATGCAAGCTAGTTTGGGTTGAACTTCGTTCAGACACACCGTGCGTTGAGTATACCGCATTGTCAAAGTGTTTCTAAGCAATAGATAAATTTTGCCTAACATTGTGAAAAAAATAATAAATATTTTTGAGTAGTATATTAATAAGCTTCCCAAAATTATAAAAATTTTTAAATTTACATTAGCAACTTTAAACCACAGATTTGTAAATTAAAATTTTTTCATAATTTTGAAATAAGCTTATTAATCCTACTCAAAAATATTTATTATTTTTTTCATAATGTTAAGAAAAATTTATCTATTGTTTAGAAAGACTCTGCTCAACTTGTAATTGTTTTTGTAAAGATTTTTAATTAAATTGATCGTTTAACCAAAATTAATAATATTTTATTATTTTCTCTAAATTAATATTATATTCTAATATATATTTGGTAACACAAATTGAAAGCGAAATTTCACATATTTAATAACAACGCAGTTGATGTATAAGGAACCGTTCATAAACTACGTCACGCTATTGGTGGTTATTTAACGTATTCTTTATTCACAGACCACAGCATCTTTATTGAATTTAATTTACAATGGTGTGGAGTCAATCTTAAAACAGTATTATTATCTCTCTCTGCGATTTCATCAATAATATATAAATTATATTGTTTTTTCACCCTTTTCACTATATTCAACAGTTGAACTTTTATCATTGATTCATAAATAACTATGTCCTTTTTTTGTAACCATTTTTGGATATGAATTTTCTCCCAATAAGAAATAGTCACTTTTCAACTTTTACTGAATGATATGGGGTGTTATCTACTACAGTAACACTATTATTATTATTTCAGTAAAATATTTAAATACCATTCCTTCAAATTTTCCCAATTCATTTCGTCATGAAAATCCATTGAATTTTTTTTATTAAAGAAGGGCTTTGAAAATGTTCAACTCAAATTGTGGACCCTGATCGGAGGTATAAGAACGTGAGTCCGGGGCGACCCCCCAAAAAAGCATTCTATAAAGTGTCGCGGACAGAGAACTCTATACGGTTGCCGGCAAAGGCCACCTCCGCTTGTGTACTCTCACTTTATTAATATAAAAAGGGAATCAAATTGACTTTCTAGTTGGTACTAGAAGGTACACCAAACCCAAACACAGACCCAACCCCCTTCCAATCTGTACCCCCAAAAAAGACATTTTCTAAAATGTCCCAGCGAGAGAACACTATATGGAGAAGGTCAAAACCATTGCTTTTGAAGCTTCTCAAATTTCTCCAAAGTGCTTGGTATTACATTGACACGAACGTGTTGTTGAAAACATGAATCGAAAATATGCCATTTTCGCTTTGAGTGCACGCAGAAAAATCCGATTGAAAATTGATTTAAAACTAAAATTTTTATTAATTGAAACAATTAATACACTACTAAATGTACAACTTGGCAGCGGTTGTTAGGGTCCGTAGTTTTTCCTAGCAACCGTTGCTATGGTGATGGTTGCCATAACAACTGTTGCGATGGTAACCGTTGCTATGGTAATGATTGTCATAACAACCGTTGTCATGGAAACCGTTGCTATAGTAATTGTTGCCATAGCTACGGTTTTTATGGTAATAGTTGCTATGTTTACATTTGCTATGGTAATGGTTGTCATATAGCAACGCCTCTTATATTGGAATCATTATGTGGAGTTTATGATTGATTTTATTATTTTTTCCTTGTCATTTTAGGACAAGAAAGCCTAAGATGTAAGCGCAATGCGCCTGCTTCTCTCACTGATTTTTTAAGACTATATAAGCTTCACTGATGCGCTCAATCAAATATCGCATGTGCAGAGAAGGTGAAATTTTTAGGAAGTCAAATGCTCATGTACATAGTGGATGTTTACTTCGACCACTTGTAATATATAGTTTTACCATCAGTGATAGAAGTAACTTCACCCATTCGTCGTCTCTCAACTATAACTTCCGATGTCACATTTTCTGCGCAGGTATTGGAAAAACTTTTTTTACTTTATAGAAAAATTCGATAATACTGCCAAAATCCAAATAGCACAAAATTGTGTTTTTGAATTAGTGTTATTGTGCCGTCAAACGTAAAATACAGTCACACCATATAGAGAACTATGTGAATTCCTGTGTTGAAGCATATATACACGGAACCATATGGGATCTTAGGTAGGATACTATTCGTTTTCTTTAATGATTATATAGAATACTGTAATTAAGATTTAATAAATGATAACGCAGATACATAAAAAATATTTATTATCTTGCAACTAAGGCATTTTAAAGTAACATTTTTTTTCTTCGTTAGTTAGAAATAAAAGTACTATTTACATAAAAGAAGAAACATATCATTCCTAATAACAAGAAGAAATTAGATTTTACTTTATTTCCAACACTTCTACCCTGATTCCCCTTCTGTGATTTTTTATTCCAATATGGATTTGGAATGTGAATTTTACTAACTTCTGTAAGTAAAGACAACCTTAGATCCTCATAACTGCGTAATAACTGTTCAATGTTATCCAATTTCAATAAACAAGAAACAAAGTCAAATATTTTAATTTTTGTTAACAAAGTATCCTTAATCTTTTTCTTCATTTTACTATCAATTTTTCCAATAGTTTCAATTATTTTGTAAACATCAGCTACATTTTCAATAGAATTATTTAGTAATTTTTTAATATCAATTAGTCTTTCTCTCCTATATATTATTAAAAGACCGTTTGTATTATTTTTTGGAATTTCCCAATCAGACAGTATACTAATGAATAAATTTAATAAAGATTGTTGTATTTTATTAAAATCTGTCTTTGATATCCATTTGTTTTTAGCATGGAATAGGCAAACAAGGGACTTTGTTGAAACAGATGGAGCAATATTCTGAAGAACACTTCTATTTACGCTTATAGTGTTAATAATGGCAGGAAAAATATTAAAGTCGTTGTCAAAAGAATCAATTCTTTTACTTTCTGCTTTTCTAAATAATGCAATATCCCTACTATTCTTTATTATATATTCAAGAAAATTGTTTACTTTAGTGGAAGATACATTTTTAATTGCAACAGCTGTTTTATTTAATAGGTGTTTTATCATTTCAATGTCAACTTCAGTTTCATCGATTTCACTAGGCACTTTTGTGAAAATTACTGATATGCTTGAAAAGAACATAGCGAACTTATCTCCAAAAAAATTTTCAAAATTATGTAAAAGTTTTAAGAATGGTATAGTAGTGTCCCGTTCAATATCACCAAAATCAATAACTAAAACAAATTTTAAAGATTTAACATTTCTCATTAATAGATAGAGATAAAAAGAATTAGTGATATCTTGTACTGGTCCTCTATTGTCATCAAATCCAGGAGCATCAAAAATACTGTAACCAAGCAATTTATTCGATGTCCATTTTGTGGGAATTGTAGTTTTTGACGTTGGTCCTTGGCCAATTTCCGGTCCTATTGATTCATTATTAGCTTGAACTATTTTATGTTCAGCATATTTCGAATTTTGTATGCCCTTTAGTTCATTGCCCATCAAGTAATTAATTAATGTACTTTTCCCTGATCTTGTGGCACCTAAGCAAATTATTGCATCTTCGTTTGAACCTATCCTCGTTGAATAATTTTCGCTTTCAAAGAAAGCAGTTTCTAATTCTGTTAATTCCCTATCAGATAGGTAACAATATTCACAATAGGTCCATGAAATTAGTAAAAAGAAGATTCCAATTCTTGTCATAACTAAAGAATGATATTAGTTTCTGATGAGAACGATTAACTAATATAGTTGATATTAATTCCTGTTATTGTTATTGATACACCTAAAGATAACCAATATAAACGTTATAGGTTAAATATTTTGGCCTGTATTTATAAGTAAATGAGAATATTTTAATTTGCAAAATTTGTAATTTCTTTCATTTATCATTTTTTTTATTTCATAATTTCTTTTATTAGAGTTTGGAAATTCCAAAGTTTCGCAAATTATTGACCACTCCAGTATATATATGTATATAAGCCTGGCCGCGATTTGTTAAGATATTTTTTAATCTGCTGATATCATTGAGCACCGGGCAGAACACGTTTCCTTTTTACCTAAAGAAACAAATACGAAAATACTTAAGTTGATCTATAAATAATTAATAGACCCAAAAACTTAATAATATTATAGAAGAAGAGATTTTATATCTCGGACTATTGTTTATGGATTTTTATGAAGTTTACACATTTTTCAGGTAAAAATGTGTACTTTTAAATAAAAATAATGTTAATAAAAAACTCAGTTTTTCGATTTTTTATTTTGAGATATTCAAGTTCAAACTTTAACTTTTACATGCGATTATGTTAAAAATAAAAAATGTCAACCACAATATCTCGTTTTTTAACATGGCAAAGAGTTTTGAAATATTTACCACATTTAAATATTTATAAAGAAACATTTTCTCAAAATTTGAAGAAAATCTATTGAAAATCAATTTTTTCAAGAGTAGCAGCCAGAGATATACCTAAAAATTTTTATTTAAAAATTAATTTTTTTTTCATTTTTTTTCATTAATGATTAACAAGCAATTAATTTAAATTATTAGAAATTTTAAATTAATACATTGAAAAGATGAACAAGAGTATATTTAAGATACCGTTTTTTAAAAAAGCATAACCTTATTTTATGTCTAGCAGCAGTGTTGACAAACTTGGAAAAAAAGCAAAAAACTTTTTTTCTCAAAATATGTTTTAAAACAATTTATCGAAATGGTACAGTTTTGTAACGAATACCTGAAATGGTACAGTTTTCCACCTAAGCCGACGAATTTTTGAATTTTTTTAAAAAAAATTTTAGGGAAAGAAGTTTCATATATATGTTAGGCTCAAAGACCCAAAACGCTCATTGAGCGAAAATATAGTCCACAACGCATTGTGGCTTCTTCAAATTGTCCACAACGCGAAATTCGGGTTGTGGCATGATAAAAAGTGTTTAAAACGCGTTGTGGTAATTTTAAAAGGGCCACAACGCGAAATTTCTAAGGTCCCTTTCTTCAGATCGCGTCACATATAAATGTCACAGTATAAATATTACACTCAGACTACAAAAATTTTAAATTAAATCTACTTGATTGAGTATCAAAGAGTAAGAAAAGAAAAAAAAAGATGGATCAACGTACAAAATAATAAAATACAAATGTTTATGTTTAAAGTTAATTTCGGGTATTTATAGTTTAAATTATTTGTAAATATAATTATATGTTATTTACTAAAAAAATACTACAGTTATTTATTTCAAATCATTTCTTAATTACCGAAACGCGTAATGGCAAATATAAAAGAATCCAGAACGCATTATGGCATTTCTTAACCCCTTAGCATTTAAAAATTCAAAATGGCGGCTCCAAAATAGCGGCTTAAAAATTTAAAAGTTTCCGTACTTGACTAAAAATACTCACTTGGGGGTTTTTGGGGTCGCTGATTTCGAATATTTGGTTAAAATTTTAAAATTCAAAATGGCGGCTTTAAAAATTTTAAAGTTTCCTGATTTGATGAAAAATGCTCACTTGGGGGGTTTTTGGGGTCGCTGATTTCGAATATCTGGTAAAAATTTAAAAATTCAAAATGGCGGCCTCAAAATGGCGACCGAAAAAATTTTTAAGTTTCCGGATTTTGCTAAAAATGCGCATTTGGGGTTTTTTGGAATTAGAATATTTGGTTAAAATTTTATAATTCGAAATGGCGACTTTAAGATGTCAAATAAAAATTTAAAAGTTTACGAATGTGGTTATAAATAGTTATTTGAGTCTTTTTGGGTTTGTATTTTTATATATGTATATATATTATATTTTACATATATTATATTTTTATATTTATATATATTTACACAAACTATTTAAAACACCGCTCTTAGTCGAATCCGGAGTCACGAACGAGGACGTGGCGGTAACAACTCCATTTATTTTTTTTTATTTTTTACGATTTTATATTTTTTTAATTTTTTTACGGTTTTATATTTTTTTTTTTGCTTTTGTGTCTTAAATTTTTTTTGTTTTTTTTATTTAGTTGAATGTAAAGGAATATTATGTTTCGATAACAATGTAATATTTATTTTTAAATTTTTTTATGCTTTTTTCTTGTGGTACGTATAAAAACACGGTGCAGCACAGAGAGGAACTTGTTCACACTCTTTACACATAAAACATGTTTGTACTCTCTTGCCTTGGCGAAAACACACATTGCATTGTTTCCAAACTTTCTTTTTGTCTGATATCTTTGATGAATAATGAGTTTGTGTAAAAGAAGCAGGGCTCTTTTGCAAAGAAAATCGGTTTGTCGACTTCCCTTTCAATTTACAATGCTCTTTAAGAATCTCTTTTATTAATGATTGTCGAAACTGTAATTGTGTCATTTTCTTATCACTTTGATGAAAATGATTATACACAACAGAGGCATTAAAAACTGCAATATCAAATAAATGAAATTGCAGTTTCTGATACCATTTTACTGTTTTATGAATTGTTTCATGGGAAGAAATCGACTGATCTGTTTTATCGACTCCTCCCATGTTGTTATTGTATGAAATTACAACATTTGGTTTGACAATTTCCTGAGAAGTGTGACGATTGTTTTTGCCGGTTCCAATGAAGAAGGGTTTATGCATAGCAGTTAGCATTGTAACAACTTTTTTGTCTCTCCATGACATAAAAGCCATTTTTGGTGTGCATAGTACCTTCATCTCCCCAGGTTTCAGTTGTTTTAGATTTATTTTTGGCATAAATTTTCTGTTTTGTCGAACTGTTCCACATACGTTTGTTTTTTCTTTTACAAGATCTCTACATAGCAACGGAGATGTGTACCAATTACGATATAAAGCGATCTTCCTTGGCCACCGAGATTTCCAAGTAGTTTTTTACCACAGTGCCAGATATGCCTATTCCAGTTTTTATATTTTTACTGTAATTATCTTTTCCTGTATATATTATGAAATCGTACACATAGCCGAATGAACATTTTCAGCCAAATTCGTAAACTTAAAAAAATTTTTGTTTGCCATTTTGAAGCCGCCATTTTGAATTTAAAAATTTTAACCAAATATTCGAATTCAGCAACCCCAAAAACCCACAAGTAAACATTTTTAGTCAAATCCGTAAACTTTTAAATTTTTTTGGTCGCCATTTTGGAGCCGCCATTTTGAATTTTGAATTTTTGATTAAATATTTGGATTTAGAGACCTCAAAAACCCCCGAATGAACATTTTCAGCCAAATTCGTAAACTTAAAAAAAAATTTTGTCGCCATTTTAAAGCCGCCATTTTGAATTTAAAATTTTCAATAACGGATTTGGATTCAGCGACCCCGAAAACCCCCGAGTAGGCATTTTTAGCAAGATTCGTTAACTTTTATATATCTTTTTTTTCGATGCCGCTATAGCGGTCATACACACTGGTGGCACGAATTATTTTTGCCTCTATAGACGTCAAACACTGTGAAGGCGTTAATTATGCCACAATGCGTTGTGGCCGAATACTGTAGCAGCCACAAAGCGAATTTCGCGTTGTGGCTTTTTCCAAATTACCACAACGCGTTTTGAACACTTTTTGTCATGCCACAACCCGAATTTCGCGTTGTGGACAATTTGAAGGAGCCATAACGCGGTGTGAACTATATTTTCGCTCAATGAGCGAAAATTCGGTTTTCGGTCTTTGAGCCCAACATATATTTTATATTTTTGGTATAGATATTCAGAAAAGAACCATTTTCTTTAAAGAAGCATTGAAAAATACTGCAAAAATTCAATAAAATCTCTTTTTCATATTCAATCAGTTTTTGTGCCCATTACTTATTTACACATTCACTTTATTATTTTTGTATTTATTTTTTTAGATGAAAAGAAAACTTTTTCAGTCCGGCATTCATTGATATTAAATAATTTTACGAAAATGGTTAGGCTAATGTATATATATATTTATAAGTTATGGTCATTGTCGATTATAGGGCATTGTCGACAATGGTCGACTATTCTTGCGAATAGTACCCGGATTTTTTAAAATGGATTTCCAAAAAAAATTTCGTTCAGAAATCCGTATGGAAATTCGCACGGAAATTCTTTTGACAATTTCTTCAAAAATTTTCGGACAAATTTTCTTACGAATTTCGTTTGAAATTCGATCGAATTACGAATAGATTTATTTTGGGAAATTTTTATAAAATTCTGCTCGGAAATTCGTATAGAATTCCGTACGAAATGTCAGCTAAAAATTTCTTCAAAAATTTGCTGCGAAATTTCCATACGAACGGATTTCTTTTGGAAAAATTTCAGAAAATTTCGCACGAAATGTCTACTAAAAATTCCTTACAAAATTTTCAGCGAAATTTCCATACGTAATTCGTACAAAATTCGAGCGAATTACTAACGGATATCTTTTGCAAAAATTTCAGAAAATTGTGCTCGGAAATTAGTATGGAAATTTTATCGAAAATTTTTGAAGAAATTTTTAGTTGACATTTCGTGCGGAATTCCATATGGATTTTTCGAGCAGAATTTTATAAAAATTTTCCAAAATAACTCTGTTCGTAATTCGTTCGAATTTCGGAAGGAAGTTTCGCCGGAAATTTTTGAGGAAATTTTTAGTTGACATTTCGTTCGGAATTCCATATGAATTTTTCGAGCAGAATTTTATAAAAATTTTCCACACGAATTTTACTAGTAATTTCATATGAATTCGTTAGGAATTCTGTACGAATCTGGTCGGATTTCTGAACGAAATTCGTACGAATCATTTTTATCTGGGATGATTATTGAATTTAAGTATAGAATAGTGTCTAATTGAAAAATTATAATTAGAATGTACGGGTATATTAAACTTTGAAAAAGTAAATACATACGGTGTTGGTGTTCAATTTCTTCGTTTATTATTTAATAGAAAAGAACAGTTGCAAAAACATAAATCTTTAATATTTCTTTTAACCTTAGTCAACGTGGCAGAAAAACTGTGTGGCATGTTCAACAATAAAACATTTAAAATATCACTAATTTTATATTTAGTCAACCATTACTGAAGCTACAGGTGCATCGTGTAAAGATAAGAAGAGAAATTTTGTGATAGTGAAATACATATTTTTTATTGTTATACTATCGTTAGAAGAATAAAGTGTTCTTTACAAAAGTTACATTGTTTTATAAATATAACTTTAATGTTTGAACTTCCTTGTCGATACAAAATTTCAATTAGATCGTAAATAAATATTATTATTTTAAAATAAATTTTCATTTTTTATTTGCAATTCTTTCTAATAAAAATATTGATAAGTGATTTCTACATAGTTTCCTAATAGAAAACTGACATTACTTCACCATTGGCACAATAATCATCGCAATATTGGGATTAGCCTTGAAAAAGACTGATTGATATAATTTTTTAATTGGGTCAAATTTTCTCAAAAAAATCATTGTTGGCAATGGGTCTGTCAATTTTTCTGACAATTGCTTAATTTTTTATGATAGAATAATTATTTTAACGTGTTAAGATAATTATAACTAACTATTTGGTCATAGTTCTTTTTACTAAATAATAATGTTACGGGCGTCTCCTAGAACTATTGGAAATATAGTAAAAAAGTATAGTCAAATTTACCAGGTTTTTTTGTGTGCAGAGTTTGTGAAAATATATATTTCGTAGCATTTACAATTCGTAAAATAAAAATTCTCATAAAAGAAGACATTTCGCAAAACACAGTAAAGTTCCCTCAAGCTCGGAAAAATTACTCTTGCCAATTCTAGATTTTTAAAATTCAATTAAAGAAATGAAATTTCCGTTTCTAAATTTGAGACATATACGCCTAGGTATTGGTGTAGTGTAATCAACGCATATGTCTATTTGAAGGCACATTGGTCAATTGTGAGTCAGAGTAACGACGCATCATACAAATAAACGTAGAGGTACCTGGCGATAATGAAATCCTCACTCCCTGTTGCAACACCCTAAAGTTTGGGGATCTCTAATGAACTAGTAGCACGTTAGTTAGAGCTGTCAGTAGAGGAAAATGTGTGTGTTTCATGCATCTAGTTACTTTCTAACAATGTGCAACTGTTAGTAAGGATTATACGAACGGTCTGTGTGCATAGTATTCACCAGCGCATGGATACAAATAAATCCTATTACAACTTACAAGTATATTTCGCTTGTTCAAGGGAAGGACTATGTACTCTGCATTAATATAACTTTTATTTTCCAACAAATGTTTATTTTACCGAGTTGAATATTACATCGTAAGAAAAAGAGACTTATGCTCCAACATTATTGTAACAGATAATATAATTTGTATAGGTAACTTTCTTAAAAAATATTAAAATATTCCACCTATTCCACACTGAATTGATTTGACAATTAATCTAAAATACAAATTGGTTGTTATAGGAGTATTTACCTTTAGTTATTAAAAACTTTATTTTTATAACACTCTCTGATGGATATGAAGATTTACGCTTATTTTCTTCATTTTGCATTAAAATTTTACTCTTGTGTATAAAAGTATAAAATTAATATTCATTTTCTTGACACTCAAAATCTCACCAGAAAGTGAGGTTAGATTTTAAAATTTGACATTAAACATTGAACCCTTGAAAATTTCTTTAAATAAAAGCATTTTATATTTTATCAATAAGACACTATAATGAGTTGGAATATGTTACAATTTAGAAGTAAAATAGTTAATAACATTCTATTTACATAGTTCTTTTGTTTTAGCCCCACACAAATATCAATCACCGACCAATCGTAATTTTAAAAATTTTCCATTTTTAATTAAATAAATTGACTAAAAACAATTTAAATAAAATATAAAAGATCCAAAATTTGACTAAAAAAATTTTTATGCAATCTATGAGGCCCAGAATTTATTCTAAACATATTTCAATTAAATTCACCAGCATAAAAATAATAATAATTCAATAAAAATCATCCCCAAAACATCACTTGGCGAGTTAACTAATTACTCTAATACACATAAATATAAAATATTTTTATTTGATCTAAAAGCTATATGCAATTCTCTAACAATATAATATCTTTGATTTAAATCCCACTTTATGAAAAACTAACCACTAAAATTTTTGTACGTTTATATACATTAGAATTATATGGCTTAACTCGACTAGTGATGTACAAGGAATGATTTTTGTTGATTGATTATTATTTTTATGGGAGTGAATTTGATTGAAATTTGTTCTGAAAACGCATTCTGGGCCTCCTGGATTTTATTCGAATTTTTTAGTCAATTTTTTAAAGAAAAATAAAAAATTTTATCAAAATTCTGATTAAGGGATGATTTTTAAGTATTGGTTTTAAAACGAAGATATTATATTGTGAGAGAATTGCATGGCCTGAAGACTAAATAAACATATTTTATGTTTAGGGACGGATGCTGAAACAAAACTAAATAGAAAATTACTTTCGTTTTAGTTCTTGAATAATCCAAAAACAAAAGTATTTGAAACTATTTAGTTTCGTGTCGACTCGAAACTAAATTAACGTCTAAATATTAGTTTAGTGTCAACTTGAAACTAAATTAACCGATTAATTTAAGTTTCGAGACGACTCAAAACAAAAGATTTTGAAAACATAATTATTTAGTGTCAATCACAAAAAAATTGTTTCCCTTGACTTACGTAACTCGAGCAACTTAAGCAATTAATGTATCTTACGTGAGAAATAGAACTTATATGAGTTACGTAACTAGAATGTCTTACGCAATTAATGAAACTTATGTAATTAGAACAACTTACTTAAGTTACGTAACTATAACAACTTACTTATGTTACGTAAACAGAGTAAATAATATAACTAAAGTAACTTACGTAAGAAATAGAACTTACGTAAGTTACGTAAATAGGATGTCTCATGTAATTAATGGAACTTACGCAACTAGAAAAACTTACGTAAGTTACGTAACTAGACAAATTATGTAAGTTACGTAACTGGAACAACCTACCTATGTTACGCAAATAGAGTAAATAACATAACTAAAGTAACTTACGTAAGGTACGTAACTAGAGTGTCTTAGGTAATTAATGGAACGTACGTAACTAGAGTAACTTACGTATCTAATTGAATTTACGTATCTAATTGAACTTACGTAAGTTACGTAACTAGAACAACTTACTTAAGTCAATCTAATTACGTAACTTACGTAAGTTCTGTTAATTACCTAAGTTACTCTAGTTACGCAACTTACGCAAGTTCCAATAATTACGTAAGACATTCTAGTTATGTAACATACGTAAATTTCATTAATTACGTAATTACTCTATTTCCGTAATTTACTCTGGTTACGTAACTTACATTAATTACTTAAGTTGCTCGAGTTACGTAAGTCAAGGGAAACAAATTTTCTTTGATTGACAGGAAACTTAATTTAATCAGTTCATTTAGTTTCAAGTTGACACTAAACTATAAATAGACGTTAATTTAGTTTCGAGCCGACATAAAACTAAAATCATTTTGTTTGTTTAGTTTCGTGTCGACCCGAAACTAAAGTCGCTTTGTTAATTTAGTTTCGTGTTTTAGTTTTATGGATATATTTTTATTTTTAGGGGGTGAATTTGATTGAAATTTGTTCTTATTAAATTTTGGGCATCATATAGATTTTATTCAAATTTTTTTAGTGAGTTTGTTTAATAAAAAATGGAAAATTTTTTAAATTATGATTGGGGGATGATTTTTAAAGGTGGTTTTTAATTTTGTGGGGGGTAAAACAAAAGAACTACGTAAATAGAATGTTATCCACTATTTTACTTCTAAATTAGAACATATTCCTCAAAGATTTCATAATTTTTCGATGCTATTTGCATCATAAAATATTATCATAAAACATGATTCATTCGCAGTAATTTTGGAAGATATTAATCACGATTCAAATGCAGTGAATTTGTTTGTTAAAAAATTTAATTTATGAACTGCAGAAAAACCATAAATTAAAAAAAATTACATACATCACTGATGGATGTGCTGGACAATATAACAATATTTTTTTTATTGATTTAGCACATCATTACATTGATTTTAAAATCCAGCTGAATGGCATTTCTAATATATGGAAAAAGTTCATGTGGATGGAATTGGAAGTATTCTGAAACGTATGGCAACAAATGAAAAGTTTGTTTGACATATAATGAATTATTTATTATTCACAGAGTGGAAACCTATTGCTTATATGTAGTAAAAAGTATTTATTATAAATTGTTATATTAAGTTAAAAGGAAATAATTAAATGATATATTAAAAGATACTATATATAGCTGTCAACAATACAGCATTATATTGTTTATACACTTGAAAGTTATTTTTTAAATATATTCAAATTATAAGTTTTAGTGTTCAATGTTAGAAGACGCTATCTACTTTATTTTTAAATTTTTGTAGTAAAAGTCATAAATAATGTATCAAAATTGAAAAATATGACATATTTTTTCAATACAGTACACATACGAATCTTTCTTGCTCAAGAACCAGCAATGTTGAGATTTCCACTTGAGAACACATTGCCTCTTTCTCTTTATCACTTTCTCTCTTGTCTACAACAGTAACCACCATACTGTGAACTTCCTGCTCTGTGATCTTCAAGCATCTGAGTTTCATCCCTCTTGAAATTGGCTAGCAGCAGAATCCTACAATATAACCGTGATTACAAATCCGCTCGTTATCACTAACCCTCATCTCCTCCCAATCATACCTTTTCAAAAACTTCGGTTCAAAAGTATTTACATCATTTAGTAAACTGAATGATGTAAATGCGAAAAAAGTTTCTCAATTTTTTGAAATCATTCTTAAAAAATAAATTCATTTGTACGTTGAGTTGATTTTCAATTTTTATTTATGCTTTTTACTGTCCAGAAGTTATTAATTCCACAGCTAAGTAATAAGTCTGTTTAATTTAATCATTCGTAACTAAATATATTATAAAATTAAGGAAAATTATGATAGCCAAAGAATATCCTAATTTGAGAAATTAAAATTTATTTAATTT